TGTTTAACAACATTAATAATGTTACGTGATTTCACGGAATAGCACAAAAATTCGAGACAGAAAGAGAGAGTACATATAACCGTGCAATACTAGAATTTTGTAATTAACGCCTTCACCTAAGCCTTCGCTTTTATTGTAAGTGGCCAAATTCAGAGACATTTAGTATGCCCCACGTAAAAGAAAAACAAAACGTATTCAAAGCAGGAACCATTGCAAAAATTCTACTTCTTTATATGTACTGTTCGAAAAACCTCCTTCTGCTCTATTAGAATAAAATATTACGTTTAGTAATAATTAATGTAAATGTAATAAGTGTCTGCATTCAAATTTCAAAAGAAAGCGAAAACTATTGTGTTCTATAGACAGATCAAAATAGATTCCTGGCAATGTTAAATTTAGAATTTTATAGATATGGTTTATTCTACAGCAAATTTTATAATTAAAAGATGATCTTGGAAGTTACCCCTTGGAAGTTTCATTTCAGTAATAGCTTTCAGGATGAGATTATCGTCTACTTATTTAGATTAATCCAAAAATATTGTCCCTTTCAGTGACACCTTCATTTTATGTATTGAATTGCATTAAGTAAATTAACGCACCTATTAACGCTATAAATATATCAGTTTGAGACTGAAACTCATCGGAAAATCAAATGAAAAATTTATGATTTTTAGACGTAGTATTTCAAACTAAAAAGATTTTTTTTGCGTAACTTATTACTTAGGCAACGTACAGATCACAGAAAAAAGACGGTCCAATTCGATGGACTCTGCAATCATCCAAATATGATTAACTCTGGATGGGAGGTCAATTCTTCCTACATTACACTACCTTTTTCCTAGGCCACCACCACCATTAACAATGTCAATCAATCAAAAACACCACGGAAGTTTTTTCTGGCCTGGCCACAGCTTGCCTATGTCCATCTTCATACACCTATTGCGTAGAGACGAATAGCCAGTCGCTATGCACTGGCTAACAACGTAAAATATAAATTACTTTATACTTTTGCTGTATCTAGAGTCGCCTTAGTGAGATATTACTAACTGAGAAGAGTAGACTACTAAATAGTGCAAAGATTTTGGCTTAACCCCAGTCATCTACACATATTCTACAATATGACAATAATCACATGACTCTCATACCACAGATATACCAACTGCCATGTATCGAAGTACTTCTATAAAAGTTCTCATGTCGTCAAGCCAGGGTCTAGCAACCACAGTTGTTCAACCAGAAGCCAATTCTCGTACTAAAAGTTCTTTCAAAATTCAGTTCCGATCACACTTTGATGGTATTGCCACGACAAACGATACGCAGTTCGACAGGTGGCCGAATTAAATTACATCAGTATTCATGAAATAGTATTCACAGCTGGGAACCTTACAGGAAGAAATGTCAAAGGAAAATAAAACTGACAAGATATAATCTAATTTTTATTTTGTCGATTTTAGGACCCCTACATGAGAAAAACACAATGATTTCAAAAGATAAGAATTCCATTCGTTTTGCTACCATACAAGTTTCCCATACATTAAAATTATTTTTCACATAGTGTTTTAAAACGTCAATTCTACGTCTAGTGTTTTCACATCGAATGTTAAACTTGTAAAATAATTGCTATAGTAAATAACCCAATGAGCACTCTTTATACCATTACAATTGATTGTAAGCACATGGTTTTATATTGTTTATAATTAAAGAAAATTAAGAATTTATGAAACTGCATATCTAAATAATTGGTTTCATTTTAATGCATGTTTCATGTTATTTTTTGACAATCAAATGCAAGACCTATTATTATCTCAATAAATATGAGTGGTATCTGATTAAATAGTTAGTAGAGCAAACAAATACACAAATGAACACAGTGGTATCTATATACCACAATGTTATACTCACTACTCTAGATAGTTTCTACTCACCAGTGCAGTAGAGAGTGGCATAATTTGTGGTAAAAATTTCCGGTGGATTAGCTTGGGCTAATAGCATTAAATAGACCAAGCTTAACTTTTTAATATTATTATATATTCGCTTTGACAGTAACATGATGATAGCAACAACAACATTAAGAGGCGCTTGTTGGGTCTTTCAAAACTTATTTGACTTATTAATAAATTATTTGATAAAATTAAAATAGAAAAGATTAATCAGTAATAAAATATAATGACAACTGGGATGTAAAGTAACTAACTGAAAACTTAAGCAACTCAAATCATGTCTGGATTATGAAGTAACTTTTGTATTTAAATACTAGATGTTTAATAGTCTATTTTGGACACAAGTTTTCTAAATGGAATAAAGTTATTTATTTTATTATAATGAAAAAGTTACATTAATATTTACATTTGTGTATAAAACTTCCGTGTTTTTTTTTTCTTATACAACCATTACCACGTTTATATAAGCGACAAAATTATGAGCTACTATAGAAACGTTAATAAATTGAAATCAGAAAACCAAGACAGTTCGATATTTTAAAGAAAAGATCCAAAGTACCTACTATTTCCGAGTCCTTTAATACTATGTAATATAAAATATAAATTAAAATAACACTCAAAATAATAACAATAATAAATTGATCTATTTTCACTCTATAATACTGAGTATTATAAAGTAAAAAATCAAGTCATCAGAAAACAGATATTTATAAGAGATATTACAAAATGTCATAAAGTAAAATCCTTTACTAAAACGTTTAACATTCGATGCTATATAACAGGTTTAAATCACTTTAAGTTATGATAATGAATGTAATATATATCATAAATTGATGAAAAATAAATCATTAAATGTATTTACAAACGTAACAATGCTTTGTACTTAAAGAGCTCTATTTAGTTGATGGTTCAAATATTTACACAATAAATTTGGTAACGAAGTATCATTCCGACGTTCAAGAGTCATTGTGCCAGTCATGATAATGTCAATTATATTAATTTAGAGGCTTATATTACTGTTACCCGCGACTATGTCTGCAATTTTTTGCTTTGGTTGTTTATTTCCAACTCATTGGTAACCTACACCAAATATCCATATTTATTTCCCCAATCTAAAACTTATCTAAAATGTTAAAAAAAAAATGTTTTATCTGTAACGAAGATTTGCTATAAGTTAAAAATGATTAAGTTTAAAAAAAATGTTACCGACTTCAATGTGTTGACATCATATTGATTTGATAAACTATATTCTTCATTCCATCAAACAATTTTAAAAATCTACCCTAAAATGTACCCTCACAAACAGAAAAAGAATTTTCCGAATGTGTTCATAATGAGGTAAAATCTTTTAAAAAAGGGTGGGTGACTTTAATAAACCGAAACATACATTTTATGACCTTTTTACTATTTTACACAGAGGTGAAGCATATTTAATAAATATACTAATTTTAAATGGTTACCAAAGTTATTCTTGATCATATGAAGTAATTTCAAAATAAGAATTAATGAAGCCATAGACAAGACTTAAATCTTTTTCTATTTATATGTACATAGTCATTACGTAGTTTGAAACTGAAACTTAGAACTCTAAAAAGTTTGTTGTATAGTCTCATTTCGTACAACCAGAGAATTGCCGTAATTAAATTAAAATAGTATACTTTACTGGCAGAATATGGCATTCGCTCTCACTATTAAAGATTTACAAAACGAGTTTTAGATCTAATAGAACTGAGTTTGCGGTCTATTATTATTATTATTACAACTATAATTAACAACCACGATATTAACACTGGAAAGAAACTACACCAAAGAAATTTTTATATGTACGTTTATTAATAAAACACCGAATTGAACTGACAAATTATTTTTTCCAAGCGTAGTTTCCCCACACGGTATCTGCAATATACTACTAATTATACTTATAAATACGTATCTTTATTTAAATCTATACTGTCATTAGTATCATAAATTATTTTAATTTACAACACTGACTTTCATTCTAAGTTAATCTAGTTTAAATCAAAACACTAAGTAATAAATATATATATGTACGTATAATTCATAATTAAGGAATAATATATAATTGATTATTTTAGTGACATATTACTAAAAGGTTCTATAACTAATCTTAATTGAGGGAAATTAAAAACAATTACTGTGAAATATACAAAATATTAATCAGTTTGATGTCTCTTGGAAATATTTGCAAATACATAAGAAATAAGCTGCCACGCATAATGATGTAGGAAGCAATGATATTATTCTAAGTACTATATAAATTTAGTTCCACACGTGGCAGTCCTTATTTATGTTTTACTATTTACAAATAATATCTATAGAAGTGTATCGCATAACAATATCTGAGAAAAATAATAGGAATAGTAAAAAATCTGTACATAAACAATGGACTATGAAAACCAGAAAAGTTGAAATCTATACCTACTATCACATGGATTAATACTTCTGACTATTTTACTGTCATATACATTGTATAATAATATTATGTAACAATATAATACAATTCTATCAATAAAGTTTATGAAATTCGCAACATCTTATACACTTTACAAGTTATCATTCACAAATTAATCTTCCTCTTTGGTCATTCCGGAATTATCAAATAACTCACTTTCATAGTCCTAGTGACTTATTATGTTACTTAAAAAAATCTTACCATATTAACACATATAACTTAGGTACTTTATCCATTTACCAATTGTGGCTAAGACTGTGTCGCACATACATAACATATACAACATGATTATTATGTGAAATGTGATTTTTATAATATGTACAATAGCTTCTATGTTATTTGATCCTCAAGAAGATCCACTGATTGCAGACAAAAATGTGTTATTATTTATATAACAGCATCAAACGAAACCTTGAGTGCATTTACAAAAGTAACGACTAGTTGGGTAGAAACAGCCTTTCATAATACAGAAGTTATTTAACCGAATGAAATCTATAAAATCAACACTGTTGAACTCGATCCTACTTAAAAAGTCTTAATTAGATCACAGTATCTAGGTCTCTGCTGTCGACCTCCGGCATTGTCAATCATAGAAAACTCTCCGAAGCTCTTGTTTCCTCTCTTTCGACTGCAGAAACTATCTCAACGCCTTCATCATAATTGTGAAGTTTAGTTGTATTATTTGTGCAGTAGTGTTGTTCTGGATCTCCATATTGACTATGATAAAACTCTTCCCTCATCATAAGGTTCAAATTAGTGCACCGGAAAAACAGGATCTCTTGAAAAGGCTTTCTAAAATCTCGGTTTAGAGTTGCATATATAACCGGGTTAAGCAAACTGTTCAAGTAGCCTAACCAAAGGAAGATAGCACTGACTGCGTCAGGGATGGCGTCTTCTCGGACAAACGGCCGAATTAAGGCTAATAAGAAGAAGGGAAGCCAACAAATAATGAATGCTGACATTATTATACCTAGTGTCGTTGAAGCTTTGCGTTCCTTCGCTAATTGAAACCGCAATTTCTTGTTATGGGTAGCTGATGGGTGCAGCAAGTCTTTGGCAATGTGGCTTTTTTGAGCAAAACTGGAGAGCGATGAACGGATTCTATTGGTTGTAACTTTTTGACTACTTTCTGATGATTGTCTACGTCGCTCTTTAATTTGAAGTTTTGGTGGCACCAATTGTGTTGGTGATTTATTGATGGTGTGAATTGGCTTCACGGGTGTTTTTGGTTGTTGCAGCATTGGACATTGAGACTCGTTGGACTTTCTTTGACCGCTGAAACATCTCCCAATTGTGCTTTCCGCTTTATCCACGCTGCACTATAACAAAGTGAAAACGCAGTATTGGTATAATTTCTGACACGATATAGCATACAATGACTTATGAGTGGAGAGTGAAATCGGATTTAAAGTTCTTAGTGTAAATAAAAGTCATTATTAGTTATAATTCAATGATAAAAGTGCTCAAATAGAACTAAACTCAACCATTAACTCTTAAAATATTCATTATGAATCTTAGACTTGGGTTAGCTGGGGTGACAGATACCCTGATACCCCAATGACCCCAATTGTTGTTAAGTAATAGTTGTATAGATTTAGTTAGTTATAATTATTTATTTAGGTGGTTGCTCAAATATAGGAAAAACAACATTATTTCCTGAATTATTCTAAGAGACTTTGAAGGCAAATATATTTTTGTTATTGGTGTGGGATAGTGAGTTAAAACTAATTTATACTAACACTCACCGTGGTGTTCGTGCTCGCTGTAGAGCCTCTCGGGGGAGGCTGCGAAGACTGGTTGTCTAAAAGTTTCGCCTCTGCCGCTCCGCCGTTCTTAACATTTATCTCGAGGTAGCAATGAGTCTCTAAGTGCGACTGAGCTCTTCTTTCTTCTTTCACAATCTTCTTAGCAGCATTAAATATCTTATAGTAGACTACTACCATCACTGTCAATGGTATGTAAAACGAACCCATAGTCGCATAAACTTGATACACCTTATTCTGCGACACAGAACAGGATGTGTCAGTCTTCTCATTACCAAGTATTAGGACCGGCGGCAGGGATATGCATGCTGCGCTTACCCATACAATAAACACGCAAAAAAGCATTCTTCGGGGTGTTCTTTTAACGCCATATTCTAAAGGTTTTGTTATGGCATAATACCGATCAACAGAGATCATACAAAGATTGAGAATGCTTGCAGTACAAGATAGAACATCACTGGATACCCAGAAATCACAAATGACTGGACCGAAAGGCCACGTTCCCATAATATCGTATACGGTGGCTACCGGCATCACCATTAGAGCTACACACAGATCACTCACTGCCAGAGATACGATCAGATAGTTACTTGGTCTTCTTAATTTTCTCACTAAGCGCACGGCAACACAAACAAGGATATTCCCAATTACAGTTCCTACAATAACGATCATAAAAATTAATGTGAGGAATATAGCAACTGGAGTGGAATATTTTAAATGTTTTATGTGACTGGGCCTATATAATGTGATATTGTCGTCTAAGGTGTAATTTAGAGTGGAATTGCTAGAAGTGATATCGAACTCTGAAATGAGATCTGGTTCGAAGTCTATCGAGGCTAATGCCGGTCGTAAAAGAATAGACGCCAATATAAGAAGACACGAAGATAAAGCAACAAAGCTATGCAGTGGACGGTGGGAGTTATGACTTTGAGTCGCCATACGAAGCCCTTAATTGGGTATCGATAAATTTTTTCGTAATCCTGACGTAACCATACATTGGTTTTGTTTCTTACTTTGTAACGATGCTCAAAGGATGTGACAAATCAAGTTTGAAAAATAACCTGGTCTCGAGGCGTTTTGGTTTTCGAATTGCTTATTTGATTACAATTGAGAATCGGCTTTAATTGACATATTGCTTGGATTGTATGTTCAATTCGGAACAGAGCCATTTGAGTGTAGAATAGCTAATGGTTATGACTCTACTGTCGCTGTTATAAGGTTGGGTTTTCTTTAAATTAAATATTTGCTTGAAGTCAGCCGGGTGCGTTGTTTTATTGCACTAGAAAGGCGATGTGAACGGTTGCTACTTCAATATCCCGACTGCGGATTGCTTCATTAGCGCCGTTGATTGGTGTTTAAAATGTCTGATCTGTAAAGAAAAAATCTATGTTGAGTACATTTTCTAAAAACTTATGTACTAGAAGAAAATTTCAACTAGAAAAGTTAAAAAATTACAATAGTTCACTTAGGAACATGAACTTAACACATGTAAACCCAACCGTTAGTACAAACTAATCAAGTCCATTGAACAGATGGCCTCAGTCACATGGATGATTCTTAGGAGATCCTTAAACAGATTGACAATTCTATAGAAGTCAGAGTATGTACTATTCTATATAATAGAAACAAGTATAAAACGATAGTTTACCTTACAGGTTTTGTACTTGTTTCTATTTTTTTGTGGTAACACATATAAGGGAAATCAATCATAACAAAACAGTGATGTGGAGAATAATCGAATATTAAAGTAGTAAAGTAGTAGTAGTAATATACTACTCGTTACGTAAGGACAACTAGAAGCCCAAAACGTAAAATAATATATTGCTAGCTGTACCCTGCCACGCTTCGCTGTGGTACACTGTGAATACAGAAATTAGATAAAAATTATCGCTGAATCGTAAAAATTTGAGCTCGATCGGTGCAGAACTTTTTGAGTATTAGAACATCACACATTACTTATTGTTCTTGACCCGAACCGGTACTGCACACTTTTAGTACCATGACATTATAAAAAGACTAGAACCATAATGTTACATGTAGTCATTCTCCTCGTATTTATAACTTTATAGCACGCATTGTTTAATAATTGTAGGTTTATGCATTTCTTCTACAAATAAATATTCGTTTTTCAAATATGACATGCCTATGTACAATGAAAATATAGATAAAGTTTCATTATTGAAAGCCCTTCAAAATGGAAAGAAAATTGTAAGTTCGGAGGTTCTTTTAATAATGGCATTTTATGGGGTAGGAGTAACTAAAACACACAAAAACACGATTTTAGAACGGGTCGAGAAATAAATAATGGAACTTCTTATCGAATGCGAAGGAAATAAACTGTAATTTATTAACTCCTGAAAATTAGAGATTATAGCTAACAAAACAATGCCAATCAACCCACCTTTTCAATAATAATCTTAGCTTAGCCTTATACCAAAGTTTAATGCGTAGGTATGCTTGTGTAGGTTGATTTAGTTTAGCGCCCTCAGACTCAGTCATTTTATTTCAATAAACAATGCTTTTATCCGTATATTGACGGTCTAAGGTCATGAATAAAATAATTTGGTATAAATATATGTACATAAGTAATTTCAATATTAGCATAATTTTTATTAAATTTAGGAATACTGTAATAGTATTTTTTTTTCATTTTGGATTTTGTGATGTTTGAATATTCTATATTCATGACCGGCAATTTATGGTAATAACCTATAGTCTATTTTGCAAAACAATAGTTTGTACGTTTTTCGGGTTTCAAATTTAGTTGAATAACTACATATGTATAGTGGTTTTGAACTAGTGGTCGCCCAGTGCTAGAAATTCGATCATAATTCATTTAATTTTTAAGTTTAAACTTTATTAGGTTTCTTTTGTCACAGACTATAATCAAAATATAAATAGGTTTATAATCAAAAGTACCATTTTATAATAAATTTTATTATAAAATTAACCTACAGTTTGACCATAGATTTAAACCATGAACAAAAGAGTAAGTATGTGTGTGTGTGTTGTGTGTCATTCAAACATTAGTGTGTGTTATGTCTATTATAATTAATTTAATGTACTTCTAATGCATTTTCAATAAAAACCTTTATGCACTTCTTCTCCATATAAACTTTTTTAACTTCAAATTTCACGTTCACCCGATCCCGCAATTTTTTTAAAAAGGGGTACAAAGTTTTCGCTTCACGTATTATTAATATTACAAATAAAAACATCACCTAAAATAGTGGAGTAGATAAAGCCTATGCGATTTGAAATAGAAACTAAGACATAATGTTTATGAATAATTTTAAATCCAAATTGATAAAACAACAGGAAATAAACGATGGCCTGCCGCTGTTCCCCTACTAACGGGGTACGGCAGAACGTTTACACTAATTCCGCCTTCATTGCATTTTCAACTAACAAGATTCCTTAGATACTCTTTTTTACAAGTATACTGCCTTGGTGGTGCATAGGTAGCGTATACGACTGCTGTGCTGAGATCTCGGGTTCGATTGCCGGGAGTGACCAAATTTGTATGTTTAATAGGTATTTACAATAAAAAAACTACAATAAACTACAATAAAAAGTATATTAGTATATTATATCAGTTAATCTAGCTTTCATAGTACAAGCTTTGCTTAGTTTAAAACTAGATGGCGTTGTGTGTCAGATGTCCGAAAATATATATTGTTTTATTTATTATATGGCGTAGGTGGCAAAGGAGCAGACGGCTCACCTGATGGTAAGTGACTATCGCCGCTCATGGACACCTGCAACTTAAGAATCACAAGTGGGCTGCCGCCCTTTCAGTCCCGTCCCCCCAGATTCAGGGGGAGGGACAGGATGTGAGTTCCGTTAATCTCACTCTAGATCTCTCTCATAAAGAATTGCTTAACATTAGTTTTCTGTGAGACCGTGGTATCCTCCTCCTGTGGCGCTTAGCTTATTTGTGCTGAAGCATGGCACTCCTACGATTAAATATCAGAAGGCCAATTCTCGTAGTAAAAGTTCGGCCACAATTCAGTGCCGATCAACTCTCGATCTCACAACTGTTATAAAAGGTATTTTTGTAGTAAAGTAATAAAGCTCCAAAGTTGACTGTAAAGTGATTCCATTGTATTGTAACCGAAATTTATATCGGTTATCTGCTAGTCTTAGTAATACTTTATATTTTGCTACGAAAATACCTTTAATGACAGTTGCGAGATCGAGAGTTGAACGGAACTGAATTATGACTAAACTTTTGTTACGAGAATTGGTCCTCTGTCTGTATTTTGCATTATAACACTCTCACTATCTATTTTTGTAGGTGAAATGGTGTCTTCGGTCAGGTTAGTCACCCGTGCTCTATCATACTATACAAATACATCTTACGGGAGCCAAATTCAACAAAAATCATTACCTTATCAGGCAACCACACGATAAAAATATTAAACGTCACTAACAACCATGAACGCTCATAAAAATAGTAATTAAAAAAATATATAGAGTCATAAGAACGTCAATGGAACCATTTTAGGAATATAGCATCTATTATTTTGGTGACAATACTCTGTGATGGTTATCAATCAGGTTAATTGTTTTGTGGCCATATTTGGTATAATAGGCCCGCTCTAAACACATCACGTACTTTTGGCGTTAGGATTCGCAGACAGGCCTATGTCTCGCATAGGTTCGCTCTTACATATTATATTCCAATTAAATATTTTTTTAAATTTGATCACCAAAAAATCCTATAGGGGGCAATCAAGCAGACGGGTCACCTGATGGCTAGTAGCTACTGCTACTGCCCATAGATATCTAAGACACATACCCCTACCAAACCCCTATCCTGACATAGAGGGGATTGAGCAATTAAAAGGTGACTTAATAAGGAGTTCACTTCAGCAGTATTCTACACTAGGATTTTGGAATGATATATTTTTTTGTGGTAAATACACACATACAAAAATTCGTTCATGGTCGGCGGTAGTCACTTTCCATCAGGAACCGTCTGTTCGTTTCCCCCCTTCTCCAAAAAAATATATTTATGCACATAAATATTTCAACTGAATCCTAACAGTGACTCCTGACGTTTCAGATCATGTTGCGACCGGCCACGCCCTGCTTCGACTGGCCGCACGATGAATATTGGTATAACTAAATATTGAGTAATACCACAAGCATATAACTTATAATATTGTTTACTTTAAACAATATCTAACTTAATTAGATATAGTTCAAGCACGGAGTACTCCGTGAGTTCAAGGCAATAGTTAAACTACTGAAATAGTAGCAACTAGTTATGTTAATTTTATTTTATTTATTTTGGATCGCCAACAAACGATACACATTTCTACAATAATTATAACATAACTAATATAAGTAAAAGTAAACTATTCTAAAATATGTTAGTGACCAGAAATCAGTAACCAGAAGTACTTAAAAGCTCCTCCTTTTCTAACTGCTACAATCATATTTAGTCAATAGATGTTTAGATTGGTGCTAAAAATGACAGAAACCGAAATTTAGTACAATACATTTATTGAAGTATGCATAGTTTTAGTATTCACAGTTGAACCATCAATCGCTTCTCGCCTGCACGCTACATTTTAAATGGGGCCGAAAAATGTTAAAGCTATGTTTTAAACAAACAAAGAAGACATAAAAAGTAGGTTAGTTTTAAGAAGTATAATTATTTTTGTGACAAGTTTAATTTTCATAGTTATTAAACTATGCTAACAGGGTTAGTACTAAGTACCAAAACCTGCTGAAGTGACCCTATTATTCTCTTTTGACTCTCTCAAGCGTGCGTGTGGAATATGTACCATCAGTCACATACGCCCCACTGCAGTAAGTAATAAACTACAGACGCTATTCGTTGGAGATTTTGTATCAAGATATTACAACACCAATTCACATTGTTGTATGGTCTAGTTTATTTTTACAATGGCGTATTTCGTATGCGCACC